GGTTTAAGTGTAATTGGTTTAATTATTCTATGTGTGTCTTATTTTATGTGTGTCTTATTTGGTTTAATTAGGTTTACTAATTATTATTTTGTTCAATTAGATTATTTGTTAAGTATTTAATGGTGAATAGGGTAATTAGGTAAATACATCTAACTAGGGTTTTAATTACTGTATAAATTAGGGTTTTATATTATAGCCGTCGTAGGTTTCTACGTTAATTGGATGGGCCGGTTAGGATTGTGAGTTGGACTTAAATGAACCTAGGGTTTAGGAAAACTCTATAAGTATAAGGTAGACGTCTGTGTAGGGTTTTTTTAAACAAAGCACACGTTTTGTGGAAGTGGAGAAGGAAAAACGCAGTTTTTCACATTCTGCCAAGGTTTGATCAAAGCTCCGATCCTGCTTCGTCCGTGGTCCGATCGAGCTGAATTTTGGAGGAGAGGTTCACGACTCAGTGACGTACAATCTGAATGGTGGAGATCAGAGTTTGACCTCAGGAACAGTGATTCGTACTCGTGAACAGTAACTAGGTCGCACAGGTTTTTTTTCCATTCTGCCCAGATTTCATCAAACATCCGATCCCACTTCGTCCGTGGTCCGATCGAGCTGAAATTTGGAGGATAGGTTCATGACTCAGTGTCGCACAATCTGAACGGTGAAGATCAGATTTTGAGTTCAGGAATAGTGTTTCGTACCCGTGAACAGTAACCGGGTTTTGGAACTCGTCGGGATTTTTTAAGAAGACGACGTTGAAACTTTGAACAAAAGTTTCTGAGGCAAGATTCTATCCTTACTCTTTCCCTTAGGTTTCATACTCTTTGCACTCTTAAATGATTCCAGGATTAATGAAGATTAAACCAAACTAAAATGATATCTGTTTTGCTATGAAATTGGTAGTTACAGTAGTGTTGTATGCTTGTTCAACCTAGACTAAGCATGTTTGTAGATGCATTGTGGTTCTGTGGTTCACGTTTTTCCTTACCACTGCTATTATAAATTATTGGAAGGATGGGTCTAGATGATAGCTATCTTAACTTCTGTAATAGCAACTGTTGGAACTTAAATACTAGGAGGATTTGAGTTTAACACTAGATCGGTTTTGTGGAACACTATAATTTGAGCATGTCTACATACATACTGTGAATATTGTTTTGATGCTTACATTATCACAGTTAGTATCAACTGTGGAGGTTAGGATTTTGTGATACATACCCTACATATCTGTATGTCATTTTTAAGGTGTTAAATGGAAGTTTTAATTAATTCTGTCTATATATCAGACTAAAGGGAACAACTTAAATTGGGCATGTATATGTTGTTGTTGTGACCCTGTTTATCAATGCTTATTTTATCACTGCTAACATTGAATGTTGGATGTTGGAATTTAGTTGATATATACTTGATTTATTGGTATTATTGACTACTGGAGGATTGGAAAGTAGGCACCGGTATGGGACGGTGGCATATTAAGGATGGGTTTGGTTTTTAAAACACTACCATTACCCACCTACTTGGAATAAGGATGGGATTAACTAAAAGTTAAGTCCCGTGGATTTGTATTGTCATGGCAACTACTTGTTGAGCGGCAATACCAGGGATTTTGGATGGATTTTATATATGTACTGTTATGGTGCCTCGGTATGAGCTTGAGCCTCAGGACCGATGGCTAGGGAGCGTATATGCATCAGGATGTGTAGCTGGCTACGATGGTTGGAGGTGTACCCTGTTTAGGTATAGGTACATATGCCCACTTCGTGTGCGTTTTAGCATGTTACCTCTATTCAGGTTGAGACCGGCTTGTAGTCCAGTGAGAGTCATTTAGTGTGACTATATATATATTTACGGACTATCAGCTATTGTTGAATTGTTTAAGATGTACATGCGTATCGGGCCTCTGTTTGGATTGTAGTAGTATAGAACTTGCGCGTGGGCCTGACCCACTTCTATTTTTTCAGGTACACGACAGTTCCAGGCTTAGACGTATTCGTGCTGAGCAGAGGTCTCTATTCACTCTTCTGACGATGTAGGGCTCTCTCTATAGTTTTATTTCTGGACGTTTATTACAGTTGTTCTATCTTCCGTTTGGATGTTTAATAGGGGTCCACTAGAGATGGATTCCCAAGTTGTAAACTGATGGAGTTTTGGAATTTGGGTTTGATGGATTTTAATAATTATAATATTTTGCGGATTCTATTTTTAGTTCTTTCCAGCTTTAATTTCATTTCTTAATTTATTTTGTATTCCGTGTTCATTATAAAATATTAATTGTTTGCTATTCCCTCGGGTTTGGGCCTGGGCTTGATCAACCCGTGTTTCAGATCCAAGGGGTATCACATATAACAAGGATCAAGTTATGGCCATGCCATATACCAAGTCTAAAGTGAGTTATATGTAAGCTACAATTAATTATTAATTTCTCAAATTAATATAAGACATGCATACAACTTATATTTCACTACAAAAGCAAGTAAATCCCTTATATAATAAACTTAGAATACCCCCTACTTCACTAGAGAAGTTTCTCTCTAGAATTCAAGGCAAACAAGCTCAAAATGGTAAACCCTTCTATGGTTATGTAGAGGAGGATGAGGGGAACTAAAAGTATTCCCAAGGTTAAGATTGAATGTGAGTGGAAGGGCTTCAAAAATCAATTTCAAAACCTAAACATCAAGCTTCTCTAATGGTGGCTAGATCTTTTTCAAGAGAGGGATGAGATAAAATGGTGAAGATGAAATGCGAATGAAGGTTATAGAGATCCTCCACTCACTAGGTAAACTAGCACCATGGTCAACACACACTATTTTGGTCAATTACATAAAAACCCCTATTTAAAACCATAATTCCGAAATAACCTAAATTTTTTTGCAAACGATCCCTCCTTTAAATATCTTGCAACTTAATTGCAAAGTGGTCCTCAAGAAAAAAATAATTACTTATAGTAATTACACAAATACCCCCAAAAGAAAGAAAAATTGTAAAGAAGTATGCATCCATACCACTAAGGAAGAAAGTATACTAATAATATGCATTTCTAAGAAAGGAAAAATACACATTTTATAAGAAATCATATACCATTAGTGCATGCAAAAGTGGACATGAAAAGTGAGGTTGTGCCAACAAAATGACAAACGGGAAAAAGACGAAAAATGAATAGTGTACAAAAAGTGAAAACGTGGAAATAACTCAGCTCTTAAAGGAAGTTGTCAATCCAAAGGAAAGAGTCTTGGAAACCTTTTTCGAGCACTCGAGATGACACTGAGTGATGAGAAACCGAAATCGAAAAAGAAAATTAAACGGAAAAAATTTATTCGTAAAATTTGAGAAAAAAGAAAGGAAGGAAAATGACCGGGTCATTACAGAAAGTTTCGGTTGTTTAAGTTGGAGGAAATATCATTTCCCAAAAAATAATAATACTAATAATAAAGAAAAAAATGTTATGTTAAAGAATCTAACTGCTCGTAACTTTATGAAGGTGTAACTTTTAGAATATAGTGAATTTAAACACTATACTAATGTTAAAAACACTTCTTCAATTGGAGCCAATCCGATGAAAACAAATCGCCCCATAGCTATAGACTACATCTTTTATTTTCTATACGTGAGTATTTTAATGTGTGTTATGGATATCAACAGGCCTGTGGTCTAACAGTACAAGGCTCCTACTTCCCAAAGAGAGATCAGGGGTTCAAAACTCAGTGGAGGCCGCGTGTGTAAGTCCCAACTAGGGAAAAAAAAAATGTGTGTTATGGATAATGATGCAAGTATTAGTATATTTTATATCTATATCTAAACTTTTTGTTTCTCCTTCTACGTAATTAATTAATTAATATTTATATTAAATATAAGAGAGAATATAGAACTTTGTTTTGTATTTACGTGTATGAGATATATGTAATACAATAGTATACGGGGGCTTATATAGGAAAGGTCATCTATGGAGAGCAAGTCATTACCATATAAGGTAATGATATATATGATAATAAGGGTATGTTAAGATAACTACCATATAAAATAATGCTATATATGGTAATGATATATTATAGAATATAAGGTAAAGTGCAAAAAAACCTCCTTGAACTATGTTTGAATTTGCAAATAACCCCCTTGAACTATATTTTGTGTATAAAACCCCCTAAACTATCGCATTTTGTTGTAACATACCCAAGAACTATATTATATTTTATTAAATGACCATAATGCCCCTTCTTATTGAATTACATTTAATATATTTTTCTTATCTAAATAAATTATGAAAAAATTCATACTAATTTGATGAGATATTTTTCATTAAATTTGCATAAATTTACCTTATTTTTTTAATTAATTATTTAAATGTAAAAAATTAATTAATTTTTAAATTTTTAATGAATATATTACATGAAAATAAGGTATTTTTTAAAAAGTATTTTATTAAATTTTCATCAATATATTATATGAAAAAATGATATTTTTTACCTTAAAAATGTTTAAATTTGTTATAGTACGTTTTATTATAAATAATAAAGTTTTAATAATAAGTTAATCAATTTAGAAAATGATAGTTACAAATCTTTTTATCTATTTTTTTTCATTTTTGTGATAAATTGATACTAAAAATAAAAGGGTTAAATACTCTCATAGCCCCTCAGGTTTGGACTTATTGCTCTCGTGTTAAACCTCAACCATTTTTACTCTCACACACCCTATAAAAAGTTTGGAAAAAGTGTTTTTACTGTTATACCCTTGACTTTATTAACTGTCATGCTTATGTCATTGCTGACCTGTGTAAGTGAAGCAGGACATGACAATATTACCCTTTATTAATTTAATCCCCTACTGCCAAAACCAAACCAAAAAAAAAAAAAGTAAAAAAAAAATCCAGGTTGCTACGTGACCTAATATGGGAATGGGAATGCGTGGTCACAGCCATGGATCTTTCGACGCCGGGTTGAGAGCAGGACCGGCCCTGGCCCAAGGCGACCAAAGCGGTCGCCTTGGGCCTCAAATTTTTAGGCCCATAGGGGATGAAAAAAAAAATAAAATAAATTTAAGTTAGGGCAAGTTTCAGACAACACAATCTGCTTCGACACTCCGCAGGGCGCAGCCTCCGCTATCGCCTCAGGTGACAAGGTACTCTCTCCTTTTGCATGAATCGATCTTTTATATATGTTTCTGTCTTTTGTTCATCTCATCATTTGATTTGTTCTAATTTTGGTTCGTTTGATTCGGGCCTTTACCTTTGTTCCAATAGTGAAAAGTAGCTTCCAAACTAGGGTTTTGTGCGTGTGTCTCACCGTGTGTGATGGCTATCAAAAGTTGAATGAATATATTATGGTTCTCTTAGTATTTTAATAAATGTGTGCCTTTCTACATGTGCCTTTCATGGCGATCGAGTCCATAATCTATGGCAGGCACTTTTTTTTTTTCCCTCTCCCTAATTCCACTCCAAACTCACAACAGCAGCAACCATTCCCCTTTTCCTCATAAGTTTTTGCATTTTCACATTCAATCCTACGAAAATTAAGGATCCTTTCTAGTGGGTTGAGCCGTAGAGGTAATAACTAACTTTTTCGATCTCTAAATTATGCTCATACTTAAAAGTGCCAAATTAAGGGGTTTTTTATATTTTATTTTTACATGAAGATACATACCACATTATTGATGTTATTTGAAGTTGGCTCAGCTAGAATTTCAGTTAATAATACTGTCAAAGCACTTGCCATCAGAATGTACAAACACACGGAAATCAAGAGCAGGCTTTAACAAAACAAAAGTTAATGGTTTTTTATATTAATTTGGACAGGTCTTCTGTAGCAATGATCAATCAATCACTGCAGGTAATTGGCTCCCAAAAAAAAACACATAGTTAATATAAAGAGTGAAAGACAAAACTATATATGATAGTGGATGCCACATATAACCTAAAAGTCCCACTACTTCTTCAGCACTACAAGTTCAGCCTCTTATATATATATATAGTCACCTCATCTCCACATATTTTTGTCATCTGTAATCATCAAATTTTAGCAGCTATATAAACAATGAATGTAAAAAAGAAACTTTTGTTTTCTGTTCCTCATTTCCACTTTTGGACTGTATTTTGGATACTCTGTTTTGTCTTCTCTCCTCTCCTCCAGATTCCAGTGAAAACTCCAGCCAGGGACCAAATTGCTTGATTTTGGATATATATATATATATATATATATATATATATATATATATATATATATTTATTGTATGATTGGCAATGCTTAGTTATTATTGTTTCTGTTTGATTCTCTATCCGTTTTATGTTAATTGTGATCTTCTTTCACATGCTAGCAGGACACTCTTCTTAGGATCTCGTGAGGTTATTTGCCTTGAACTTGAATCAAATAATTGCATATTGAGGTAATATATATTTTCTTTAAACAAGGCAAATTGTTATTATTATTTTCTTGAAGTCTAGTTTTATGTTGATTATGGTTCCTGTTATTTAGATTTCAAGAGATTTCATTATGTCTACAAGAAAATTTGAATCTGGGCATGAAAAAAGGAAAAAAAAAAGAAGAGAGAAGAAGAATTGATTCAATCTCAAAACGGAGATATTCTTAAGTTTTTTAGGAGCAATACACAAATAGAGAGTTTAGTTGTAGATTTGGTGAATGAAGAACATATGAATGCGAAAGCAAATGAAGAAAATCTCAATAAACATGAAGATTTAATGAATGAATATTATAGGAAGTTAGTCAATGAACATGAAGATTTAATGAATGAAGATTATAGTTATTAGTTAGTTGTCTTATGCACAATGCACATGCGCACAATTATATTAGCTATAGGATTTGAAAACATCGTGTGAAAATTCCGCATTCTTATAATTTTTTTTGCGCATGTGAAACTTAAGGGCCTCACATTTGAAAGTTCGCCTAGGGCCTCTTAAAATATTTGGAATCTCAGGGCCGGCCCTGGTTGAGAGGAGGCGACCAAGGAGCCATTTTCTCACCGCGGTTCTGTCCTACATCACCAACACCACCACGCCGCGCATCGTCGCCGGTAAGTTCAATGCACTGCTGGACTCCATCATCGCCGGTAAATTCCGTTCTTCACCACCGGTTGGCGGGCCAATCCCTGGTCACCGGCCTCGGTGCGTCATCACCGCCACTCCTTGAAGACTACCGTTTTTTGTTATCATCTCGCCGGAATCTGCCATAGTCGCCGGCGACCTGTTCTCTCTGCTGAATCCCGGTTCAATCTTGCCGCCTCACTGCTGGACCAGTCACGCACCATCACCAACGACCTGTTCCTCTCTCTGGTTCAGTCCGCACCTAAAGAACATGCCTAGATTAAGATTTACCCAAAAAAACACACCCAGATAAAGAAAGAGAAAATGGTTCAATAATTCACAAAAGAATCTCAAATTTATTGATAAATCAAAAGTGAACAAGAGCTTACTGTGCTCAGATCAGATCTAGATGCCGTAGGAAAGGAACGTCTGGACGCACTCAATTTAATCCGAGCACAAATGAGCCTGGTGCAGACGAATACAATGAACATCGCACTCACAGCGAATCCAATGATTGTCATCACCAAATTTATCCCCAAGATATCATTTTTCTCCTTCTACTTGTTTATCCCAGTAAAGTTATAGCTTATTCAGTTCAGTTCCAAAACCCTAGAATTACATTCACACACAGTTCAACTGCCCATTACAAACACATGGTCAGCTCAATTCCAGAGTGCAGCACAAGAGCTGGTTGTGCTGAAACCCTAATTTTTATTTTAAAACTCTAATTTCAGTCTCATGGCATACTTAGGTGTGGAATTTTGATGATGCAAAACACCTGTTGAAGAGCGCTGGAAAAAGCACCTGATCGCCGGCACCACCAATAGGACGTACACACGTGAGTGAATTGAAATAATATGTGAGGGTATAAATGTCTAACAAATTAAGGGTAAAAATGTACATGAAACAATGGAGGGTAATTTAGGTATTATATTTTATCAATTTGAAAAAAGGGGGTCATAGCAAGATAAACCAAACCTGAAGGGGGTGTAATAGCAAATATGGTTGAGGTTTAATATGAGAGCAATAAGTCCAAACCAGAACATATTTACATAAGAGAAAAGATAATAAAAATAATTTAATAAGAAATGAAAATTTTAATGAGAAAGGGTAAAATAGTCTTTTGTGGTTGATTTGTACTTAATTGCAACAAATCAATAATTCAAGGGGGGTTTTTAGTTTAGGGGGGTTATTTGCAAAAGGGCAATAGTTTAGGAGGTTTTTTTGCACTTGACCCTGGAATATATTCTAAGAATACATGGTAACAATATATTATAGAATACATTATAACAATTTAAATGTATAATTATGGATTTGGAAATTCTAAGGTACATTACAGGACACTAATCCATAAATATAAAAATATTGGTCATCTAAATAAAGGCTGGACGAAGAAGAGCCTAAAAACAATCAATGAGGTTCTTCAAATCTCCAATCACTACATACCATCTAACTAAAATAGAGATTATATCAAATTTTGTAATAGTGTAATTTTTTTTTTTGTTTATATAATACTAATAAAATTAATACTTTAATCTGCACCTCTACTCCGAAATCGCAAAAAATCTTGTATCATGGGCAAGAAGCAAAATGGAAACCACATTTGAGAAGTTTATGGATGAAAGAGGAAAAACAGAGCAAGGAGTTTTTATTGCGCTGGGACTTGGGAAGAAGAATTTGTCAGAGAAATGAGAATAATATTAATGGAGGTTGGGTTAGGTCAGATGAAAGATAGGTTTTGAGGAGATGAATGGTTTAGAGAGAGAAAAAAGTTTTGCTTGAAGAGAGATTGAAAGCTGAACTATGGATGATGCACAAAGCGGGAAAATGAAACCAAGGAGAGAGAAACGTGAAAAATGAAATCAACAGAGACAACGTCTGAAAATGAAACCAAGAGAGAAACCCTCCCTTACATTTTTTTTTAAACTTATGTGCTGACATGGCAACTTATAAAAAAAAGTCTGAAATTATTGCTTTGTGTCCTCGATTGATATGGTGTAGTCCACTAAATAAGCTAAGTGGGCTACGACCCTGTATGAAGGTTTGAATATTCAACTTTTTTATTTGAAAACAATAATACTAGCATATAGTAGTACTATATATAAAAACTTCATCTAAATGCCTTATGAGATGAGTAATATAATTAGAGGGTCACAATTACTTTTATAAAAAAACTTCATGTTTAAGTACATTTTTTATGAGATGAGTAATTTAATCTTAATAATAGTACTAATATATATTAAGTCTGTTGGGCTTAACCAAGAGCTGTAAGCCACTCATCTCTCAAATTGGAAGGTGGAAATTTAAATTTAGTTATAAGAAAAAAAAATTAGATTAGATTTTTAATTTTTTTTTTCCTTTCCCCCGATCAAAATTGACCTTGGGTTGAAAATATTTATTTTTAATCCAAATCCAAATCCAAATCCAAATCAAGCAGGTCTAAACCCGCCCAATGACTGGATCATGGTCGGGTTTTGCCTATTCATTTTCTGCCAGGTTTTAGAGGCCACTTTGCTCCTAGTCCCAAACAAGAACACCACTAAAAAGTGAAACCACTGCCCACTACAGAATTGAAAGGAAAAAGAGGAGAAGCACAGAAAATGGGAAGCGCAGCGCAGATACCGACGAGCTTTGGGCACGAATTGAGGGCATGCCTTCGCTGCAGGCTCGTCAAGACCTACGATCAGGTCTCTTTTTCATCTTTCTCTCTACTTGTTTCAATACTTGTACGGAGTATTTGTGATTTACTCGCATTACGCTCTCACAACTATTAGGGTTTTGTTAACTGAGGTTTCTTTCAGTTTTTCGCTACATGTACACTGGGTTGATCATTTTCTGAATTTCATTGTTGTTATTGTCCTGCGTTATCTGTGCTCTTATTGTGTGTTTTTAGGGTGTCGGACGTTGATTTCCCATTCATTGCTCTCTTAGTCAGTTTGTTAAATTTTCATCCAGTTATCTGTAGATGTATTTATCTGATTAGCATTTCCCTTTCTGAATTCTAACTGAAATGATACAGTTGCCCCTTCAAATATGGAGTGTAAAAGTATTTTTTAGAACAATTTTTTGGAATTTGAGAATATTTTTTTACGGATATTAGTGTAATTATTATTTTTAAGAAAAAGAAGAAAAGTGTTTTCAGAATTTCATTGCCATGACATGCTCTTCTTGTGTGTTTTTAGGGTTTTGGATATTGATTTCCCATTCAGTGTTCTCTTGGTTGAATTTTCATATAAATGTATTTATGTGAGATTCTTGTGATTAGTAAAATTTACTCATTTGATCAACTAAGTGTTTATGTGAGATTCACGTGATAAGTGAATGTGGGTTTTTGTCTTTGCATATTTTGTCAATCGCTTTGGCGTGCTGACTATACAAAACATAGTTTAGAGAATCGGGATGCGAGAACTGCCCCTTCTTTAAGATGGATGAAGATCACGAGCGTGTCGTGGATTGCACCACTCCAAATTTTACAGGGTAATATATTTTAAATCATTACTTTATCATGTTTTGATTTTGCGTGATCCAATTATATTCTATATTTCCTCGTGTTGTGAGTGACCCAAGTGTCTAGATTTTATCAGTGTGAACCAGACTTTCGAAAATTACGAGTTTTTTCCTCCTAAAAACCTTCCCATTTGAGCACTTCTAATACAATATTACTTATCTAAAAACAAAAGCTTCTTTTACATGTCATCCTTGTAACTGTTTGTTTCCGTGTGGATGCTTTCTGCATTACCTAACTTTTGCATTATTTAATTTTTTTGTTTTTGGCTGAGTTGTTTTGTAGTATAATTTCAGTCATGGATCCAAGCAGAAGTTGGGCTGCTCGGTGGCTTCGAATTGGTATGTGCAATTGCTTATATAAAGTTCATCATTTGGTTTGGCAAAGAGACAGCTTTGAGAAGGAATTAGGATACTTCATACTTTCTGGGTCTTGTTTGTTCGGCCCGAGCCAATGTCTCCCTTTCACACTGTTAGCCTCCAGACATATTTGGGGTTTCAACCAATGTGTCTGGCTCATTCTCTCATTTGTTTTAGTCCCTCCCGTCTGGGCAAATGCTTTAAATTCTACAAGATTTAGCCCACCCCCTTTTGGGCAACTGGGTTCCGGAAATGCTTGGAATCTTAACAACGGGTCTGGCCCATCCTCCCATTTATTTTACCATGCCCCGATTTGATCCAAAGAGCCCAATGCTCTGTCAAAACAACCCACCAAGCACAAAAGTACCTCTCTTCTCTTATCTATTCCTCTTTTTGCAACCTTGAAATTTATCCCTCTCAACGCCAGCATGACTGTGACCTCCCCGTTGGTGGGGAGGCAAGGAAATCTTGCCACCTCGGAGAACGATCTGTGATCCTCTATTTTCACCACTGACTTCCAATCCTCTCAATCATTATTAAATTTACTATCAGTACCAATAATTTACTAAGTGGATAGGAGAAAAGTGACGAAAATTGAAAATAAAAATGTAAACTGTTTTTTTTAGTTAATGGTAAGCTTGTATAAAGAAAGAAGATTTACAGTGTGCCCCACTTGGGGAAGAACAAAACCAACAGGTGTACAGCCCAAACAACATTAAACCACTGAAAACACAAACAATCCACCAACTGGGCACCACATTTAACCTACTTCTAAGAATCAGAAGCGAGCATACATACAAATACTCACAATAAAAGCATGTCTTGAGCACCAGCTGTGAATCATCCCTGCTGCAAGAGTGCTTGTAACTGTGGGAGGGTATTCAAGGTAAAAGAATGGCTTGGCCACTAGCAGTGGAACATCCCTGCTGGTAGAGTGTTTGCAACTGTGGGAGTGTAGAGATTAGCCTCAGGTCAGAGCTTGATTTTAACTTGATTGTTGCTAGTCTTGCTCTCACACAGTTTTTTACTTGTGCAATGGTGTTGAGAGAGGATGTTGATTGGTTCTTTTTTTTTTTTTGATAAGTAATAATAAATTAAAAAAAGGCGTTCAATAGGGGAACGCTTCCCATAGACATAAAAGAAACCGGGAGCTAAGGCCCCAAAGAACCCAAAAAAGAAATTAAATCAACAGAAGAGGAACAGGAACTTCTGTTCACATAACTGAAGAGAGAACGAATAATAAAAAGTTTCAGTGTCGCTGTAGACGACTCCTTTCCTTCAAACATTCTACTATTTCTCTTCCTCCAAATGTACCACCAAATACAATGCGGTGTAGATCTCCAATAATCACGAACACTTCTACTCACACGACAACCTCTCCAAGCATGAATCAGCTCCTTAGTAGAACATGGCATTACCCAATACATGCCAAAAAGCCCAAGAATAAGATTCCAACAGTCGTGCGCTACAGAACAATGCATTAGGAAATGATCAATTGACTCCCCATTCTGCTTACATATGCAACACCAATTAACAAAATAATTTCCCCTTTTCCTCAAATTATCGATCATTAGAATCTTATCCCAAACGGCGGTCCATACAAAAAAAGCCACCCTAGTAGGAGTCATAGAACGCCAAATAGTCTTCCATGGAAAATCAGAGGGTGCAAAATTAGACAAACATAAGAACAAAGACCTTACTTCAAAACGACCGTGAGAAGAGGGAATCTAAATCAAATTGTCATAACCCCTGCCAATTCCTTCCTGCTGATACAATTGATCCAAAAAAATGCTCACATCATCTAACTCCCAATCCTGAAAAGAACACCGAAAAAGAACATTCCACGTAATTCCACTATTATCAAGCTGATAACAGTTAGCTACGGTGGCATGTCTATCAACTGCAATACTGAATAATCTTGGGAAAGTACGACATAAAGGCTGAGGTCCACACCAAAGATCTTCCCAAAAACGAACGCGACTGCCATCACGAACTCTAAATCTAACATGAGGAGAAAAGGCATTCCATCCTTTACGAATGGATTTCCAAGCCCTAACTCCTCCCGCAATAGAAACTGGACGTGTAGTCCATCCTCCAACATCATCCCCGTACTTGCAGGAAAGTAATCTACGCCAAGGGCGATGTGTTTCCTTCCCGTATCTCCAAAACCATTTACCCAAAAGGGCTTGATTAAAAGGAATCAATGGTCTAATACCGAGACCCCCCAGTTTTATAGGCTTGCAGACTTGCTCCCATCGAACAAGGTGATACTTGAACTCTTCTCCCCTTCCTCCCCAAAGGAAATTCCGTTGAATTTGTTCAATTCTATCAGCAATGGAACATTGGATTTGGAACATAGAAAGAAAATTAGTGGGAAGGCTAGATAAAGTGCTCTTGATAAGAGTAACTTTACCCCCCTTTGACAAATATTGCTTCTTCCAACCTGCCAACCTCTTTGCATACCTATCAATCACAGAATCCCAACTCCCCACTAATCTGGGAGAAACCCTTAGGGGCAAACCCAAATAAGGAATAGGAAAGGAACTCACCTTACACCCAAGAACTGCAGCAAGCGAAGAGATGTCTTGTACATTCCCAACCGGAACAAGCACACTCTTGGCCACGTTAACCTTAAGCCTGGAAACTGCCTGAAAGCAAGCCAGAATACATCTCAAATATCTAAGTTGAGACACTTCTGCATCACAAAAAACCAGAGTGTTATCTGCAAATAACAAATGAGAAATCTCCACCTGATTTGCAATATCTCTTCCCACCTGAAATCCTTTGATGAGACCAAGATTCTCTACCCAGCGCGTAAGTCTGCTTAAACCCTCCATAACGATAAGGAAAAGAAAAGAGGACAAAGGATCACCTTGTCTTATACCCCGAGAGCACCCAAAAAAGCCGACTGGAGAACCATTCACAAGAATTGAGAACTTAACAGACGACAAACATGTCTGAATCCATGTCCTCCATCTACTTCCAAACCCCATTCTTTGAAGCAAATAGAGAAGGAAATTCCAATTAACATGATCGTAAGCTTTCTCAATATCAAGTTTACACAGAACTCCAGGAACACCATTATGCAACCTTGAATCCACACATTCACCAGCGATAAGAACTGAATCAAGAATTTGCCTACCTCCAACAAAGGCATTCTGGGAATCTGAAATAATCCCATCCATAACTTCTCGCATTCTTTGAGCAAGCACCTTAGCTATGAGTTTGTAAATACAACCCACTAAGCTAATAGGACGAAAATCCTTAATATCTGAAGCATTTCCTTTCTTAGGGATGAGGGCAATAAACGATGCATTAAGCGATTTCTCAAATACACTTGTAGAATGAAACTCCTGAAAGGTGCTCATCATTTCATTTTTCACAACCGCCCAACTTTCCAACAAGAAACGCATAGTAAACCCGTCAGGCCCCGGGGCTTTATCCCCGTTGCAATTGGATAATGCCTTTAGGACTTCTTCTTCAATAAAAGGAAGCTCTAGTCCATCTCTCTTCATCTCAGAAATAGCCTCAAAAGGAAGACCATCAAGCTTGGGTCGCCAACCTAAAGGTTCTGTATAAAGTTTCTGATAAAAAGAAACGATCCCGCTCCGCACCTCTTCCTCCCTCCACAGCTCTTGCATTCCTTTCCATCCAAATGAAATACACTGCAGCAGCTAATAACAGTTTGTGAACTAGGTAATCAGTAGAGACCCAATGTGAAGAGCACCATTGAATCATATCACACCAATTGTTTGGACTAATGTAGAACCCTGCCACTTCTTGAACAAACTTCCAAATGTGGGAGGAGTATTCACACTTGAAGAAAATGTGATCAATAGATTCCCAATCTGAGTTGCAAAGATAGCAACCATTTGTGTAGTGTTTGTGTAGCACACTGGTTTGGCATCCAGAGTGTATAGCCTTCCTCTTACAGCAAGCCATAGGATGAGACTATATTTGGGAATATGGTGCTTGAACCACACTACCTTGTGCCAAGGGAAAATTGGGGATGGAGGGCTAAAGTACTTCAATGTGTGTGGCATTCTGAACTCCTTGGTGGTGCTAGGTAACCATTCAACAAAGTCTGGATTGGGTGAAGGTTGAGGTAGTTCCTGAATTTGAGCAATGAAACTTCTTGATTGAAAGAATTGGTGAAGCTGTATTGTGATTGGATTGCCCCATTGGTTGATGGAAATTATGCTATCAACTAGGATATTGTTATCAAGTTGAAGAATTTTCAAACCAGTGAGCTCCAACTGGTAAACTGTTACTCCAGAAAAGCGATAGACAGAGAAATGAAGTAGGTATAATAGATGATTTTTTTTAAAAAAAAGAATTTTCATAAGCTTTATTGGAATGTAGATAGAATCATATCAGAACACTTGTATGTGCATTGTGCAGAAAATATAGTCAATATTACTGGCTGGTCATGCATTCCGAGGACTAGATGAACATTTTGAAGCACAAATTTGGATACGTATAGAATAATTAATGCAAGGAACATCTACAGGAGAAAAAATTATTTATACAAGTCGGCTTCAATAATCATGTAGGAAAAGATTGTTGAGGGTACAAGATGTATTGTGGGCACCGTTTTTTTAAATATGAATGATAATTGCCAATAGGAGTGTGTTCAAAACTTCACATTGGCATGTTATGTTATGATAGCCAATACCTATTTAAAATTTAAAGAGTAAACATTTACAGTCTTTAAAAGTGAATTAAACAAGAATAAGAGAGATTTAATTTGTATATCCAACTAGATTAGTAAATTGACTAATATCTAAGTATTGTAAGGTCATTTAAGGAGATAGTCTAACATGACATTATAAGTTGATGGTTGTAGCCGTATATGTTAAAGTACAATTGAGAATTTGAAAAGAAATTAGAAACCTAAGAGCTAGTCTTGTTGTAGGGTTAGGCATGTGTTTACACCTAAATTTATCTTCCAAATTTTGCACCCATGGATCCCACAAAATATTGGAATTCATAAAAAGTGAAGAGGGGTTATGGTATGGCAATGCTGTAATCCCTTGGCCTTGGCAAGGTCGTCATGCCTTGGCCTTGGGCGTGGCCGCAATCCCATGGCCTTGGATGTAGTCTCATGGCCTCCACACTAAAGGCCATCTCATGGCCAACTTGGGTTACTTATGTGCTTGATTAGTCAACTCAAATTCCATAAAGGATGGGATTATCTTACTAATATGCTTCAATATACATATATATATATATATATATATATATATATATATATATATGTATGTATGTATGTATGTATGTATATACGTGTTGGTCGTGCATTTAGTGAGGACATTATTTCCAAGGCAAGTAAAGCACGTGTCCCATAAAAAAGTTGGCAACCTTGCTTGATGAAAAATGGAGTGTCACATGTCACACTTCGAATAGGCCAAGAAGACCCACATTTACACATCACATTAGTCCAAGTTCTCTATAAATTAAAGTCCAACTTGTTGGAAAAAAGTATCCCTCAATTACCAGCCTATGGCTACTTCATCTTCTTCTAGGCTAGCCAAAATATTTTTTCACATTTTCTAGCTCATTGGGTGTGCGGGGCGTACCAGAGTCATACATTCGGACTTGGGGTGTGAGCAACACATTTGCTTGAGGTGGCCTTGCCAAATGACTGTCTAAAGGCACATTCGGGCGACTGTGAGGAGAAAAGGGAGGGCCCTCATGCTGGGTTGCAATTGCGTTGATAATAAGGACTTAAAATCTCGCCTCTTGGTTGGTGGTAGTATGAATATGGAGATGAAGGGGATGGAGTGTATTGTGAATGTGAATATTTTAAAGACTACCATATTGTAAAGGAGACGAATAAACATGGGAATATATGTAAGCGTTGGAACATGTTTCATCATATTCATCATCAGTAGAATATTCATCCTATTGATACATAATATTCGGATTTGAAGGATTACATCTGTGATGAGAAGAAATTACTCTATCATTTAGCGCATAAAAGTAAAGTACAATGACTTGAAGCTAAGGTGCAAGTAATGTAAAGTTAAGAGCTAGAGTGAGAAAGTAAAGCGCATGAAAGATAAATAGCATGGAAATAAATATAAGTAAGTAAGTTGCGGGAACTAAAATGAAGGAGATGAAGTATCCATGGGTTGGTGATCGAGGGATTCTCTTCTCCAACAAGTTGGACTCCAATTTATAGACGACTTGAGCTGATGTGATGTGTAAAAGTGGGTTTCTTGGCCTACTGGAAGCTTGACGTGTCGCGTGTGGCACTCCATTTTCCAATAAGCAAAGCTGCTAACTTTTTGACGGGACAAGTGCTTTATTTGCCTTGGAAATGATGTCCTCGTTAAATAATTTAAGTGCTTGATTGGCATATACATATTATGGGATTTGAGTTGCTAAGAAGCACAGACACTTCTATAAGGTGTTGTGTCTGTGTCCGACATCGACACACTTAGACACGTGTCTGACTCTTCATGCTGTGTCCATTATTTAAAAATAAATTTTATTATTTCGGACAGTTGGTTAACACATCTTAGACGCTTAGTTGACACATCCGGGAAACTAATATTATGAACATACATCAAAATGTTCAATCTCTAAGGAACAAAAGCATAACTATATATAATGACTAGATAGGATAGTAATATCTATATAATATAACATATTCTTTTTTATATTCAAATTACGTCATCTTCTAACTTTTGCATGGATTTTATAAATTGATTAAAGTTCTATAATTTTCTTATTCAATAGATATATAAATGAAAATTTATAAATTTATATTAGCCGTGTCCACGGTATTTAGGGATGTCAACGGGTGGGTTCAGGACGGGGCACCCCTTTCCTAAACCCGTCCACCAATGAAGATATTTTCCCAAACCAGGTTTGGGGCACCCCGCATCGGAGTCGAAGCAGGTTTGGGTTGCCCCGATATGCATATATATATATATATATATAAACATATATATATCAAACTTGAATAAATTTAAGATAAATTTTGTCAATTTTTTGTAGTATAGTCAAATATTTAACAATCATAGTAACAAAAATGTTGTTAAAATTTAAATTTATCATAAGAAGTAAAGGAAATAGAAAAATGATAGCTAATAAAAGATTATTTATTTATATATTAATTAGTATTTAGTAATCGGACAGGTCTGGGTTTTAAACTTTCTTTCCAAACCCGCCCCTAAACCCAATTAGCATGATCCCTAACCCCTCCCAATAGGGGCGGGACGGGCGGGAAAAATTGACATTCCTAACAGTGTTTGTGTCAATACTTTTTCAGAATATTTTGTATCATGTCCGGATATGTGCTTCTTATACTTTACGGGATTTGAGTTGATTAATCTAGCATGCAAGCACCCCAAGTTGGCCATGAGATGGCTGTTGTGTGGAGGCCATGGGACTACGGCCATGGGGTCTTGCCCAGCCATGGGATTACAGCGTTGGCACTACGGCCTTGCCAAGGCCAAGTGCCAAATTTGGATCCAAACAATATGTGAGCTAAAAAAATTGAGGAAAACTATAACCGAAAGGCTTTATAATTAAAACATATTCCTATTGAAGTTATGGCCTTGGAGGAGAATTGTAGAACAAGATTCATGTGGCCTACCCCATATAGTCAGATCAAGCTTTGTTAGTTGAGTGTAGTTAGTGGATATTTTTTGTGTCTCGTCATTTGGTTATTTATTTTATGTACTAAATCAATGATCTTGGTGAATTCAAACATGTGATCTGATTGACACTTTTGCAGGAAGATACGTCCCTGGTTGTTACACACTTGCAGTCTCAGAGGCACTCCCAGAGGATCTGCAGGTTTGCATTCCCTTAGCTACTGCAATTTATAGATTTTGTTCTATCAGTTGTAAATTAATAGTTATATGAACTGTTTACAGTTTGCAAAACAAAGAAGGCTCCTAGATCATTCTTAACTCATGCACTCATATCGGGTTGCCTACTCATGCATCCAAGATTGTATGAGTAGTGATCCATTCCGAAATTGGCAATTCACGGTCCATTTTAAGGATCAAACTAGATGGCTTCTCCTGACCTCACTTCTTAAATCTTAGACTCCCTTTCGAATTAGTTAAGACCCTTGTATTTCTTTTTTGCTAATTCCGTTGTATTTCATTGTATGCCTGATTCAGGATCCTTGTATGAACAGTTTAGCTTTGGAGGATTATTAGGACTTGTGGAATATATTATGGTTTAGTTTCACTAGTTCTTGTATTCCGTGCATCTGTCACTTCATGTGAAATGGACGTCAGTTTTTCGGGCCATTAAAATGGAATTTCATTTATGCACTTTAAACTTCACACAAATGCTGAACCATGTCTTGTACTGGGCATATTAGATGGTCATTTTTCTGGAATTTATTTGTTCACTTTAAACTTCACACAAATGCTGAACCATGTTTTGTACTGCATGTTGGATGGTTATTTTCTGGAATTTATTCGTAGAACTTGATTCCGTTGAATGAAAGAAATGCGACTGTTCTTTCATTCTCTACACATGTTTTATCTTTTACTTAAATACAACTGTATAATGGAGGAATTGTGTTGCAGCTTTTCTGACCAAGTGAATTGCTGTGAAAGTAATTGACCCAACTGTTAGGATTAGCTTCATTGGTCTTTGTGATCTTTATGGAAGTTCTGATGGTCATTATCAGATGAAGCTCATGTCTGGACAATTTAGTTTTAAATCTGTTGAACCTTTTGAGTTATTCTCTTCTCTGATTTGTCATACTTGAAAACTGATTTAAATCGAACATTTTATCCGATTTTGCAGAATCTTTGTGAAGATGAGCGAGTTCAGTATATTCCGCCTAAGCGTGTATAGACGTCTAGTTGAATTTGCACAAGTGACTATGTAAGGCACATCCTATTGTAAGTGGATTACTCGTCATGTAACTGAAAGATTCTAAAAACTGCAGCCTAGTTGTTACTTGCCCCTAACTTATGTTTGAGTGGTGATGTAAGAGTTCCATGTCCTCCGTTTTTCTTTTTAAGCAAACGAGAAATTGTTGAACGAACCGAGTATTTGTCAATCTGTATCAGGTATGCTAACTTTCATGGGGATCTGTCGATGTGGTCTTCTTTATTCCATTGATAGAGTCGGAAATCTCCATTTGATTTAATAAGTGTGCCTCGTGTCAGTCAGATGATAGAGTAAGAAACGGAACTTGTGCGCCTACTTAAGGTGCCCTAGTAAACCTTGCAGGGCAGCTTCAATTTTCCAAGAGGTCATTTTATTAAATTATCAGCGGGAAATTATTTCTTTTCATGATACCGTGTTTGAGATGTGCATCACTAATGTCTATATATCTGTGTACATTTCAAATGTTGTTGCCCAATTTTCTACTGTTTTGGCTCATCCTCTGGCCAGAGAAACCTAATGTCTACCTTGAAAAATAGGCAGCAGCAATATTTCTGGCGAGGTAACGGACAGTGTATAATTCTCTAGAGCAGATTGAACAATCGTATTTGAAGTAGGAAAAATGGACCAATGTGTATGCTTTTTGAAGCGATTGGACTCTTGGACTGGTGCATAGCGCATGCAAACATTTGTTACATTACAGACTGGAGCAACTACTGCATATAAAAATAATGGACCAGTGTATGTGTCTCCTCTTTATGGATAAAGAGAGAATGAAGGGCTAGTTTGGTGTGGTTGAATGAAAGGGTTAATTTGGTGTGGAATGAATCAGATAATGGAAATGGGAATGGAATGAGAATGGTCATTCCATGTTTGGTTACATAGAAAAACATCTTATTTTTGTAAAACATATATAAATATGTATATATATATATATATATATATATATAACAGATATTTCATTAAATGTTTTATTTATTTATTTATTATTATTATTTTTAAAGTGGGAATGGAATGGTTATTCATTTAGTTAGAAAGTTGAATGAATGAGTGAGAATCACTATTCTCGAAGAATGGGAAGAATCATCCTTCTAACTTTAAAGTAAATTACCAAAAAAAAGAATGAAAACAAAAACATTTGAGAAATTCACTCACGCCAAAATGGTTATAGACTGGTGCATCTTACTTTTGTCTTCTCAATTGTTAAAAAAAGAATGTCATGGACTAATGCATTTGCATAACGTCCAAACTCTAAAGTTACAAAACTTGTTTAACATATTTAGGGCTTTTTGGGCAGCTGTTTTTTTTTTTTTTGAACAACGTATTGTAATGAAGCAAAAGTATGTAACGTGTTTAATAATGTTTGCTGCAATTTGAATAGTATTGAAGCGCTTTTAAAAAGAGACCAAAATGAAAAGCACCAAACTGGGTTTCTTCCAAACATGACTTTTTCACAAAAAATAAATAAATAAATAAATAAGCTCTAAAATAACTTTTAACTAGTTACTTAATTTTTCAAACTTGTAATATTTTTTTATCAAACATGTTTTCATATTTTTGTTTCTAAAAATTTTACAACAAATATACGTTTCCACACTTCAGAATAGTATCCAACACACTTCAAACATAAATACCTCCGAATAGTATTGAAGACACTCCAAACGGAAACTTTACTTCATTTCATGTTAAAGCAAACAAAGCATATGTGGTTACCAAACGGACCCTTAAAAAACAACCTTTAATAATAAAAAAAAAAATTTAAACCAATAAAAACAAGTGTCCTCACACACTTAAATATTACTCGCTCCTAAGTTTGTGTTCACTTTGATCAAGCTATAGACACACACAACTTGTCTTTAAAGCACAAATTACAAGTTTGTTTGGTATGCGTTTTGTTTTTGGTGTTTTTGTTTTCGTCAAGTATTGTAATAGTGAACAGTGAAAAAAACGTATTTGGTAAAAACTGTTTTGTTTTGCATAGTGTTAAAATGCTTTGTGAATAGTGGCCAAAAATTGAAACACTAATTTAATTTTTTATATGTTTTCGTACTATAGGGTTTTGGTATTATAACGATGAATAGTAGTTTTTTTAAAAAAAAACTCTTAAATCACATTTTAAAACTAATCATTATATTTTTCAAACTTACAACATTTTTTTTTTTTATCAAATATGTTTCATGTTTTTGTTTTAAAAAATCTTGCAACAAATAGATGTTACTAAACATGCTTTCAATTACTATTCAAAATACTTTATAATAAAATACTTATTTTGTTTCAAATTAAAACAAATAACTTACCAAACATACCCTAAAATTTGATAATGGTTTTGAGCTTGAAATAAGCAACAATAAAAAAATTAAAAAAAAAAAGAGTCTCTTTTTGGCAATTTTATGGCAATACGTCGTCACGATCATATTAGAAGGATAAAACGGTAAGATAGGGTAAAATCTGTCGCATAAATCAAAATTTTGGAAGTGATAAAATGAAAAAAAGGAAAAAAAAAAGAAGTAAAATTATGAAATGTAGAAAGAATTTATGCGAAATCTTGATAAAGTAGAAAACAGAAAAGAAAAGGAAAAAACAAAAGAGTTAGGGCCCTACATAAAAGGCGTGCGCACACAGAAGAAGAAGGAGGTCATTTTACCACTTTACTTCAGTCCACGTGCTGAAAAATAAAGGTCAAATGTCAACATTTTGGTACAAAACTAAAGATACTTCGAAGCCCACAGTAATACCCGCTGGTTAGCAGCATCCCACCCAGTCTCCCAGACCTTTCGTGGTTAAAACCCTCACAACTAGTTCACACACACTGCCCTCACCACCGTCCACTCAGTCGAAAGTTGCTCACTCTTTAACATCATTGTCATTTCCCGAACTGTCCCTCTCACAAATTCGGAGACGTGGTGACTAGTATATACTACTATACCCGTATTTATAGAGATAGAGATAGAGATAGAGAGAGAGGGGTTGTCGGTGTAGGAAAGAGGTGTGAAAGCCAAGCTGCAGCTGCACTGAAGCAACTTCTGTAACTGGTTTGTATGCCTCTTCTGTTTTATTTTGTTATGTTGATTGTGTGTCTGTGTGTGTTTCTTTCGGTCCGATAATTGATTGATGTTTCATTTCTGATTGAAGAATTTGGAAAAAAAAGAAAGAAAAGAAAGTGTTTTGGTTTCACCATCTCATTCATTATAATAGACCATCATTTTATCAACTGATACTTTTGTTCTGATTTAGACCAGCGAATCTTGTAGCTAAAGCTGTCTATTTTTTCCTTATCTGGTGTTCTTTTGTATATTTATAAATTAATTTTCCCAAAATTTGTTGATTGTTTGCTGGGACGGATGGAACTGAACTGAAGAATTAAACTAGACATTTCTTCGATTCATTGGTTTTTTTTAGTTCGCCCTTATATTATTTCATTTTATATAATTTTTTTTTTTTTCTCATGAAAATGAAAACCTAGCAAAACTGTGTGAAAAAAAAAAAAAAAAAAAAACTTTACTAGTCGTCTTGTTGGTTTAATAATTTAGCAACCCATTTGGCTCTCTTGAGTGACAAGAGTACCATTTGTCTTGATTCAACAATTGTTTGTTCAAATTTTGCATTGTTTTGTTATCTCTTAATTTTATACTTACCCATCTATTGGGTTGATTCACAAAGTACAATCTGCTTCTTTTTTTTTTTTTTGGGTTTTCTCAGATTTCATCTAAAAACATTTATATATAGCGAGAGAGTATTCAGTGACTAAGATGGCAAACATAGACATTGAGGGAATCTTGAAGGAACTTCCGAATGACGGCCGCATCCCTAAGACGAAGATTGTGTGCACCTTGGGCCCAGCTTCTAGGTCCGTGCCAATGCTCGAGAAGCTCCTACGGGCAGGGATGAATGTTGCTAGATTCAACTTCTCACATGGGACCCATGAGTACCATCAAGGGACCTTGAACAATCTCAGGACTGCCATGCAGAACACCCAGATCTTATGTGCTGTCATGCTTGATACTAAGGTCGGTTTTCTGTTCAACCTTTTTTTTTATTTCAATTGGTTCTTTCAGTTAGTTGTCTGCAATATAGGTTTAAACCAACAGAATAAATGAATCCTTTGCCCTTTTCTTGTCCCCTTTACTTTTTTTTTTTTTTTACTTAGCTTCTTTCAACTTCCATTCAGTATCCATGTGAATAAGGATAAATTTATTTTTTAACACATTAAAAAAGAAATTCTTTGTCAACCTATATGGAGGGTTCAGTGTGGCCTATTGTTGTTGACAGTGACACTTCTGAGAGCTGCCAACTGGGTGATGGGGGGCAACATTTTACTGCCAAATTTTATATCACATTATTACCAAGACTAGATGAAACAATTAATAGCTCTGAAGATGGACGGAAATTGAAAAATAATGAGGAAAAATTGATGTTAGTTAGCTTTAAAATGTCAGAAAATTATGTCGCTAACAAAATGCTGATTAGTTTTGGAATGACTAAATCCAAACCCAAGAAAATGGCAAGAGCACATAATCTTACCCCATCTAGCAATCCTTGGAAAAAGGCAAGATTCAGATTGAAACCTTTGCTTTGTTAAACAACCAGTTCTTTCTGTTGGCTTTCCCAATTCATAGCAGCTTCTTTCTGTAATGATGATGTTCTTATTCCAGTTGACTCCGTTGGACTATTACTTGATGAATAAGGAAAATGGAGAGTGTCACGCATCATGGCATGGTAAACCATAAAACGAATAAAGCCTGAATCAAACCGGTCATCCAGCAAGCACTGTTTCCAATAGATTCAAACTTATCTTTTGTGTTGGGCGTCTTTAGTAGCAAGAGATTGCAAGCTGCTAGTGGCCTTTTATTGTCTTGCTATCGGTAATGTAGATTAAATGTCCTCCTAACAACAAGAGGGCAAGGCTGGGGGTACATGAGTACAACATCTAAGTAGACATTTAGATCTCATGTTATGATGTGGCCATGTGGGGCGTGATTTTAACTCACTTTTAATGGTATAAAGGTTAGGAAGCACGAATACTCCAAAATGGGCGAAGAATCGTGTCCGACATGTCCCGACACGTGTCGGACACGCCAAAAAACGTGTTTGGAATTTTTTTTATTTTTTATTTTTTATTTTCGAACAAGGCACGGACACTCCGCGGACACGGCACCAACACTCCGCGTACACGGACATAGACACGGCACAGACACTTCTGGAAATTTTTTTTTTTTTTTGAATGCTGATATGTTCTTTGTTTTTTTTGTTTTGTACTACCTTTTTGGTATTGTAAATGATAAAAGTCCTAGGTCAAATGATGGATGGGAATAGATTATAGTACACTGACTTGGTTTTTGTATCTTTTTTGGAGACTAGCCTTTAGGTTTTTGTGAATGTTAAGTGCTAACAGTAAAGTCCTGAATGTTAAATAGTCATGAATGTTAATAGTCCTTTTTGTCTATGCTTTTGTATTTGGAGTAAAGTTACAATGATGATTAAATGATACTAGTTATTATTCTAATGTCTTGTTTTTTATTTGGTTTTATAACTCTGCAACATTGTTCTTATATAGTTTATTAGTTATGAGTTATGATTTGTGTTTTTTTTCATTGTGAGGTTGATGAAAAATAGTAACACTCAGTAATTTTTAAAGTACTACATCATATATATATATATATATATATATATATATATATATATATACTATTCGCCGTGTCCGTGTCATAATTTTTTTGGATTTGCTGTGTCGCCGTGTCGGTATCGTGTCGTATCCGTGTCCCGTATCTATGTCCGTGCTTCTTAGTATAAAGGGCTTTCAATATATTTTCCTTTCGGCACACTTTTCATGAATTTATTTATTTATTTATTTGTTTTTGGAATTGCAATGTTATTCTGGATGCTAGGGCCGGCCCTGAGATTCCAAATATTTTAAGAGGCCCTAGGCGAACTTTCAAATGTGAGGCCCTTAAGCTTCACACGCGCAAAAAAATTTATAAGAGCGCGGAATTTTCATACGATGTTTTCAAATTCTATAGCTAATATAATTGTGCGCATGTGCATTGTGCATAAGACAACTAACTAATAACTATAATCTTCATTCGTTAAATCTTTATGTTCATTGACTAACTTCCTATGATCTTCATTCATTAAATCTTCATGTTTATTGAGATTTTCTTTATTTGCTTTCGCATTCATATGTTCTTCATTCACCAAATCTTCAACTAAACTCTCTATTTGTGTATTGCTCCTAAAAAACTTAAGAATATCTCTTTTTTGAGGTTGAATCAATTCTTCTTCTTCTCTCTTCGGTTTTTTTTTTTTTTTTCATGCCTAGATTCAAATTTTCTTGTAGACATAATGAAATCTCTTGAAATCTAAATAACAGGAACCATAATCAACATAAAACTAGACTTCAAAAAAATAATAATAACAATTTGCTTTGTTTAAAGAAAATATATATTACCTCAATATGCAATTATTTGATTCAAGTTCAAGGCAAATAACCTCACGAGATCTTAAGAAGAGTGTCCTGCTAGCATGTGAAAGAAGATCACAATTAACATAAAACGAATAGAGAATCAAACAGAAACAATAATAACTAAGCATTGCCGATCATACAATAAATATAATAATATATATATATATATATATATATATATATATATATATATATATATATATCCAAAATCAAGCAGTTTGGTCGAATGATCTCCTAGCTGGAGTTTTCACTGGAATCTGGAGGAGAGGAGAGAAGACAAAACAGAGTATCCAAAATACAGTCCAAAAGTGGAAATGAGGAACAGAAAACAGCAGTTTCTTTTTTACATTCATTGTTTATATAGCTGCTAAAATTTGATGATTACAGATGACAAAAATATGTGGAGATGAGGTGACTATATATATATATATAGGAGGCTGAACTTGTAGTGCTGAAGAAGTAGTGGGACTTTTAGGTTATATGTGGCATCCACTATCATATATAGTTTTGTCTTTCACTCTTTATATTAACTACACTACACTTTGTATGTGTTTTTTTTGGGAGCCAATTACCCGCAGTGATTGATTGATCATTGCTATAGAAGACCTGTGCAAATTAATAGAAAAAACCATTAACATTTGTTTTGTTAAAGCCTGCTCTTGATTTCCATGTATTTGTACATTCTGATGGCAAGTGCTTTGACAGTACTATTAACCGAAATTCTAGCTGAGCCAACTTCAAATAACATCAGTAATGTGGTATGTATCTTCATATAAAAATAAAATGTAAAAAACCCCTTAATTTGGCACTTTTAAGTATGAGCATAATTTAGAGATCGAAAAAGTTAGTTATTACCTCTACGGCTCAACCCACTGGAAGGGATCCTTAATTTTCGTAGGATTGAATGTGAAAATGCAAAAACTTATGAGGAAAAGGGGTATGGTTGCTGCTGTTGTGAGATTGGAGTGGAATTAGGGAGAGGGAAAAAAAAAGTGCCTGCCATAGATTATGGACTCGATCGCCATGAAAGACACATGTAGAAAGGCACACATTTATTAAAATACTGAGAGAACCATAATATATTCATTCAACTTTTGATAGCCATCACACACAGCGACACACTCGCAAAAAACCCTAGTTTGGAAGCTACTTTTCACTATTGGAACAAAGGTGAAGGCCCGAATCAAACGAACCAAAGTTAGAACAAATCAAATGATGAGATGAACGAAAGAAAGAAACATATATAAAAGATCGATTCATGCAAAAGGAGAGAGTACCTTGTCACCTGAGGCGATAGCGGAGGCTGCGCCCTGAGGAGTGTCGAAGCAGATTGTGTTGTTTGAAACTTGCCCTAATTTAATTTATCAAAAAAAAAAAAAACTTGCCCTAACTTAAATTTATTTTATTTTTTTTCATCCCCTATGGGCCTAAAAATTTGAGGCCCTCTAAAATTTGAGGCCCAAGGCTACTGCCTTGGTCGCCTTGGGCCGGCCCTGCTGGATGCTACCTTATCTTGTTTCACACCTATTATTCCCTCTACTGTTACATGACCCTGCCCCATCCCACTCAAAGGGCAGCGATACTACCTTTACTGAAGCTTGTTAGCAGGCACTTGGGATTTTTATTCTAGCAGTGAATTTTTTTGTGGATCTTGCTTTTATATTGGTATATTTAATGGGAATAATCGGTTAATATTCTTTTAAGGTGGCTTTGAGTTTTGATATCCTGAAATCAAGGAGCTTGTTTCATGCCCTTTACAATTGGTTGGACTGTAGGAAAAAATTAAAAAACACATGGGTGATAAATGTATTATTCATTGCCTAATGGATTTTTTTTTGATATACCACTTTTAAGAAGATTATTCAGTGTTATCCATCCTGCTTTTTTTTTTTTTTTTGGCTCATTTATGACTACTTGTTACAATTGGTTCTCATTTCATAGTGATTTGTGGTAACAAAAAGTAATTTCTTCGTTGGTTCTCATTTCATTGTGATTTGTAGTAAAAGAAATTAACTTTCTTCTTTTATTTCTGTGAACCCAGATACAATCAAGTAGTTCGTCTTGCTCTTATAGTGGTAGTGCCCTAGTAGACATACAATGTTAATCTAATGAGTGTTGGATTCTGCTTCTGACCAAGTTAGTGACTCACGTGCAACATATATTGAGAATTGAGATTTTCGTGTGAAAATAAATAAATAAAAATAAAAAATAAAAAATAAGGAGAGGAATAGTAGAATGTTCGAAGGAAAGGAGACGTCTACGGCGATGCTAAAACATCATATTATTCGTTCTCTTTTCAGTTACGTGAAGAGGAACTCTTGTTCCTCTTCTGATGATTTAATTATTTTTTTGGATTCTTTGGCGCCTTAGTCCCCGGTTCCCCTTTTGTATAAGGGACGCGTTCCTCCTTTGAACGCCTTTTTATTTTATAAAAAAAGTGGAAATCCTCGATTCTTTAATATGATTATAAAAGGCTGTAAAAAAAAAAAAAAAAATCCATGTTGATGCTGGTGGGGAATGGATTTGTTTCTGTTGTCTTCATTCTTT